TTTTGCGGTACGCGGGCCTCTCACTGCTGCGGCCTCTCCCGTTGCGGAGCACAAGCTCCGGACGCGCAGGCTCAGCGGCCATGGTTCACGGGCCCAGCCGCTCCGCGGCATGTGGGACCTTCCCGGACCGGGACACGAACTCGTGTCCCCTGAATCCGCAGGCGGACTCTCAACCACTGCGCCACCAGGGAAGCCCCATTGTGAAGCTTTAATGAGATAATTTGAGTGAATGAAAGACACTTTTTTAAAGCAGCAGACTCAGTATTTAGGGGATGGAGCAGGCTACCCAGGAAAGCTGCCCCATTCTTTTGCACATTGGACACTACTTCATTTTGGGATCTTTTCACTAAAATCTAGGATAAGAGCTCCTTCTGGGAGCAGGGTCTTGACAGATTGTTTGACACTCTGGTGGAATAGAGAAGAGATGTGGGTGCTAAAACAGGGAAACCAGGAATATTTACTTCGTAATTTGTCATGGGCCAGGCTGGGCTGGTTATGCTGTGTCCTTCCTCAACTCAACATCACAGACACCGTTTCTTAGAATCAGAGGACCCATGGGCCACAGAGGACAGGTGTACAGTGTGCTATGATTGTTACAGTCCACTGACAGGAAGGGAAACTGGGAAATAAATCACAGTGTGACAGCTCCTGGTAAAGTCAAGTTCATTCCATTCAAACTGAATGTGGTAGTTTAAAGAGCCATGGTGTGTGTCTGCTTATGCAAATCATTATTCAAAATAGACTTATTTCTTTGGCTCTTGGAAATGTAACAAGATGAGTGGGGCTTCCTGAGAAAACTGCTGCAACATAGTCTATAAGTAGAAATAAATTTTAAAGAGGGTTTTTAAAAATTCCAGGAACAGCAAAATAGGCCTCCTTTCTTCTTTTGTGCTGGATAAATTCCAGGGACATTGACCTAGAAAGCTATTGGGTTCTTATTATTTTTACTATTATTATATAATTCAGTATTTTTATGATGTGTAACTAATACTGTGGTTACAATTCCATTGTACTTTGCATTAATTTTCCTTCAGAAGAATTTCCTCATTGCAACTCTATAACAAGTAAACCAAGCTCCCAAGCTTACCAACACTTCCACAGTTTCAAGTTCTTCCTTCCCTCCTTCTTTCATCCAGAATTTCCAGTGGTGGATGGAAAGATTTTAAACCTGCCTGGATACAAATTATTTTACATTCCTTCCATTGAAAGGCAGTGTCAATGCCCCTTACCTTGAATCTGGGCATGCTTCTGACCACTTGGACCAATAGAGTACAAAGAAAGAGATGCTCTGTGATTTGCAGAGTTAGTTCATAAAAATCTGCTTTGCTAAACACTGACTTTTGCAGTCCCGAGCTGCCTTATTAGAAGTCTGTCTACCTTAAAGCCACCATGCTGGAGAAGCCAAGTGTAGGTGGCCCCTCCAGCCAAGCCCCAGCCTTTCAGCTCTCCCTGTCCACATGGCAGATATTGAGTGATGCTCTCTTGGACCCCGTAAACTAGACCATCCGTCTCTGAATGTCAGTGTGTCAGTGCCACATAGTACAGGAGAATCACCCAGCTGATCCCTGCCGGAATTCCTGACCCACAAAATCATGAGATAAGTTTGGGAGTAGTTTAATACAGCAGGAGAGAACTGAAACGGTGGACTTGACTGCTACGAGAAATGGTCAAGTCTTTTCCTTTGTAGTCTATTGGTTGAAGTGGCTGGAAGCACACCAGGATTCAAAGGGTGGACAAGTCCCTTTCACTGCATGTTTATGGGATGGTTTAATGGTGTTCAATTAAATACAGTTTGTTAGTTGCATTTACTTAATTAAAATGTGTTTGATCTGTGCAGGATTTTGTAGAAGGAGATGCCTCATTTATGTAAGAATCTGGACTCAGTTGTTTCTAAGCATTGTGTGAGCAGTCTCAGTCCTCTGTTCAAATCCTAATACATAAGACACATAAAAGAGGCTCTTCTCTGGTTTGAAGCAGATGTCAGTGTCCCTGAGCACTAATCTGATATGAACTGAGACAATTCAATCGGTTATTTGTCTGTATAGACCTAGGAAAAGAACAGTGTTTGATTTTGTTTGCGTTCAGAGGCTTTTAGAGGCTCATGGGAAATTCCTAGAAGTAGGGTTTGAAAAACGCAGAGCTAAAGTCTCCCCCTGAATCCTCCAAGGCTACTGAGACCCAACTTCCACATGCCTAGATCAACCCACCGGCCCCACTTGGTGTTCTCCAGAGTCCTTCCTCGGCCTAAACTTTCATACCTATGGTTGCTCTTCTTGCTTAACTAGACCAATAATTCTCATCTGAAAGGGGAAACAGTATAAACTACTGGTGTGTGTATTAAAACCCATTAATTAAACTTAAGCACTTTACTTCCAGAGCAAATGAATATACATCTGTTTGGGTAACCCTTCCATTACATCCCTACAACATCCATGGGAAAGGGTTCAGACCCGGTTAGTCATTGCCGTGAAGAACACAGTATTACCAGTGACAGGTCACAATTTCTCTCAGGGTCTAAAATATAGAATAAAGTATTTCCTTCATTTCCCATGAGGTCAGCCCCTCTCAGATGGGCACCGGCATGCCCTCTCCCTTTCTGGTTTCCTGAACTGTTTCCTTATTTGCCTGTCAGCCCACCCTTCCCCACTGCCTCCCAGCTCCATCCTGCCATGTCCCTTGGACATCTGTTGTTTCTGGACCTTCCCCAGCTTCAGTGGGAAGAGACTAAGTCTTCCAGATTCTTCTGAGTAAAGCAACTCTAACACAGAGTAGAATCTTGCTCGCACTGTCTCTCATAACCTTATGTTTGAAGTGGACATTTGTTTTGTCCCAGTATTTACTCCTCTGGGTCTTGTTGGAGGGCGATTCCAGGTACGAGTTTCCTGCTATAGAAGCCAAAGTTACCCCTACTACCCTTTTGGTTCTATTGCCAGGGTCCGTTTTCATTACTAGCAACAAAGAACCCTAAGTGATATGACTTTGATGCCTTATGATGCTAAAAGATACCCTTCCCATTAGTTAGGACAATAAGCAGAAATCAAAAGGTAAAAAAGGTAGAGTTCAGTCCTGCCTCTGTTACCATCCAAAAAGTCCAGCCCATCAGCACACATGTCCAGAGAAGGAAGATGCATTGATCTTAGAAGGCTGGTGACCAAGGTTTCCCCTTGATTAGTTTATTTATTTGCTTCAGGCTTAGGAGTTCTGTCATTTTCTAGTACCTCCTGGAAGACATGTGCTAGCAGGTGGTGAAGGCCTAAAAAAATTGCATAAGAGAGGAAACTAAAAAATCGTATCCACTCATTTAGTTTTCTCTGAGAATTGGGTAAACTACAGCTTTGCTCAGTTTTGGTGTTATAACACCTGGGTCCAGCTCATAGAAAACCTGAGATCCACAAGACTGTTATTTGAGAACCACTGAGCTCTACAGGGATATGAAAAAATGAAATCCACAGAAATTAAAGCTGTATCTCCAGAAACATTAATCCTGCCTTAATATAATCTACAAGGATAAACTTGATATGAGGCCCCTGGGGAAACTGCAAGTAACTGCCAATTTTGCTAATGATAATAAGTTTATTTTAATTGCTAATATATCCCTAATTACTCTAGTTCTAAAATGTTTACTTCACTGTCAGTCATCTTCTTTGATTTATGTTCTTTGTGAAAAGACTTTGTCATATCGATCAACCCTTTCCAAGTTGGGTGGCAGCTGCCGAAAATGATCTCACCTTCCTTGTCACACAGCCCTGCTGTGCACCATTTGTCCAAAGGCAGAGAGTGGCCTTACCCACAAAATCTCCTAGAACACATAGCTTCCCACTTCAGCTTAGAGAAAAGTAATGTTTTCAAGGTTTTGCTTACATGAACAGAGGACTGACACTGTCTTTTCCAAACTCTGATTTTAATATAATCTTTTCCTTGCCCTGTCTCCTCTTACAAACCTGAATGTGTGTATGTGTTTGTGTGTGTGCACACACGCGCAAGTGCGTGTGTACCCAAATAATTTTTTCAAGAGCATGATGTAGTTGGTATAAAGATTCCTCATCTGGGTGGGCATTAGAGGGTCCCATTAACTCATTATTTTTGTTGTTGTTGTTAACAAACATGTATTAAGCCCCTAGGGCTGGGCATAGAGTGATGACCGAGACTGAAAGGTTTGACCATCCAGGAACTTATATGCACATAGGGGGAGAGAGACAAAAAACAAGTAAACAAATAAAGACTGCATAAGACAATTGCAGGTGATGATACAGGTTATGGAAGAAAAATGGGAGATCGAGTAAATTCAGAGGAAGGCTACCTGGGTAGTCAAACAGGTCACATTTGGGATGAGCCCTGACCATGAGGAGGAGCCAGTTATGTGAAGAACTAAAGGGAAGATTTTCCCCGGGAGAGAGAACAGTAAAAGCTCTCAGATGGAGGAAAACCTGCCCTGCTAAAGGCACGGAGAAAGGTGCCTAATATGATGGGGCAGATGATCAAAGAACAAATGTTAAGGGGTAGGTGGGAGGCTAATAATCAGTCAGACCTTGTAAGGAGACAGTGTTATTCCAAACATGATGGACACAGACGCATACAGAGGGAAGACCATGTGAAGGCACAGGGAAGAGACAGCCGTTTACAAGCCTGGATCATATCCTTCCCTCATGGCCCTCAGAAGGAACCAAACCTACTGACACCTTGATTTTGGACTTCTAGCTTCCAGAACAATGAGAAGATACATTTCTGTCATCTGAGTCACCCAGTTTGTGGCACTTTGTTATAGCGGTCCCGGCAAACTAATATAGGAATCAAGGAGGACCCCTGAATTTTTTATTAGGAAAACTGAAAAAATGGCATTTCCGTGAACTGACATCATGAAGAAGTGGAGGCGCAGATTTGGAGGCGGCGGGAATTAAGAGGCCTGTTCTGCACATGTTAAACTTGAGATGTGTTTAGACATCCAGGTGGAAATCGTGAGAGGGGAATTGGGTATGTGCACGTGGAGCAGAGGTGCAGGCTGGAGATAGGATTGGAGAGGTCGTGGTTTGCAGAGGTGTTTACACTCACGTGCATGGATGAGACCACTCTTGGAGTGAACTTTGACAGAGAAGAGGTCCAAAGACAAAGCCAAGAATACTCTAAAATTTGAAAGTCGGCCTATGTGGAAGAATTCGCAAACGAGACACAAAGCCAGTGACGTAGGAGGTAAAGCCAAGTAAGAAAAGTGCTTCAAGAAGGCGGGAGTGACTATGTGAAATGCTGCTATAGGTCAAGTCAAATGAGACCCAAGAATGGACCATTGGATTTAGCAACATTGAAGGTCACTGTAGCTTTGACAGGGGCTGCTGTGATGCATGGGCAGAGTGAAATCCTGATTGGGGTGAGTTCAAGAAAGACTTGGAGGAGACGAACTGGAGATAAATAAGTACGGAAGACAAATCCACCAAGGAATTTTCTACTACTAGGAGCAGAGAAATGGAGGAAGAGAGTAGTTGTAAAGGGTGTGGAATCAAAAGAAGGCTTAATTAAGACAGGAGTTATGACAGCATAACAGAGGCTGCTGCTGCAGAAGAGAGAACGATTCCTGGAGCAATTTCTATGAATACATAAGAGGGGGTGGGTTTCAGTGCATGAGCAGTGAGATGGCCTTAAATAGCAACAAGGACTTTCCATCCATAGAACAGGAAGGAAGAGAGTAGGAACAGATGCTGGCAGGTGGATAGATATGGTTAGCTGTGTCTTCATACTTGTTTCTATTTTCTCAGCAAAATAGGAAGCAACGACGTCAGCTAAGAATGAGACTCAGAGAGGATTTCTTGAAGGTTTGAGAAAAAAAGGACGAGGTATGAAATAGTCACCTGGGGTATAGGATAGTCAGTACACAGGGTGGGATAGGATGATTGCCAGACATGACCAAACACGCTTCGAGGGTTGTGATCATGAATTTAAAGAAAGGCCTGGTTGAGTGGTTTTTCTTGAGCCATGTTCAGTTTATGGGCACACGTGCATGACAGATGACTCACTGGATGCAACCAGCGCTGCAGTTTTACCAGGAGAACACAATAAACAGAGGGAGGTGCAAAGGAATGACTTTAATGATAGCTCATGGAATCTCAAGTGGAGAAGAAAAATGGCAGAGGATGAGAGACAGTGAAACACTGTCAGGATCAGTATAATTTGATCCTGTTAGCACTGCAAAAATTGTTGGAGGCAGAAAGATAGTGAGCTGGAAAGATGCTGATAGTTAAGAGTGGAATGTTCAAATTTGAGACTATGAGGGAGGTAACGACAAGGTCCAGGGTTTGACTGTGGAGGGTGTGACTGATTTAAGGTGAAAGATGAGACTGTGAGCACAGAGGCAGTAAAGAAAATGAGTGGTAAGACAAGAAGCACATGAAAGATGCTCAACATCATTGGCTACCACGGAATGCAAATCCACTTCATGGATTTCACTAGGGCATGCCTTTCACCTTCATGCCTTCACTAGGGCATGGCTATAATCAGAAAGACAGATATCACCAAGTGTCAGCGAGGCTGTGGAGAAACCCGAACCCTCACACGCGGCTGGTGGGGATAGAAAATGACGAAGCTACTTTGGAAATGATTTGTAGTTTCTTAAAATGTTAAACATAAATTTACCATATCACCTAGCAATTTCGTTACTGGGTATCTACCGAGGAGAAATCAAAACACGTCTCCCCACAAAGACTTGTATGTGAATTTCATGCAACCTTATTCGTAATAGTTAGAGTGGAAATCACCCAAATGTCCATCAGTTGGTGAATAATAAACAAAATGCAGTATATCCATATAATAGAATATTATTCTCAAAGATGCCATTTTTGCTGATGAGAAACCTGAACTTCAGAGAGGTTAGGTGATTTGTTGGAAGCCACACAGCACTGAAAGAGAACATAAGTGCTCTGCCTTCTCCCACTGTTCATTCTGCCTCCCCTTTGCAAAATCACTTCTCAGGATCAACTCTCTTCTAGGGTTTTTATGCTGACTCTGAAACAGAAGTAATAGATAAGAATTCCATCCCCTCAGTAGTATGAAATAATCAAATCAGAGAAGTTCTAAAGCTAAAGTAGAATAAGGCTGGCATAAAGAGGCATCTTGGGAAATCTAGACACAGTCAATGTTTTTGCCACAATCCATGGACCTCTGGCTTTCTTTCTTTGCACCAGCCCCACCATATTCCTTGCCAGTTCTCCAATGGGTCACGCCCAGCCAACTGCTCATTAAACAATTATTTATTGAGCACTTTCTATATGCCGGGCACTCTTCTAGACACTGGGGATTCAATGAATCGCTGGCCCTCTTGGAGATTCTGTTCTGGTGAAGAAAAAGAGGACAGAACAGGGGGAGACCAAAGACAAAAACCAAAACCAAACCAAAAAAACAAAAACCATACACCACAAATGAACAAAAATGTCGTTTGTCATTCTTCAGAAAATGAGAGAGTCGAGTGACCTGGGGTGGTGGGTGTGGATGGGGAGAACATTCCGGGGTGGCTGGGAAGTTCTCGCTGCAGAGGTGGTATTTGCACGATGAGGAGAAGCTGGCCTTAAGAAGTTCGGGGAGAAGGGCGTTTCTACCGGTGTCCTGCAGGTGCAAAGGCCCTGAGGTGGAGCTGAGCTGTGTGTTGTAGGAACAGACATGACAGCAGTGTTGTGGCCACGGCAGAGCAAGCGGGAGGAAATGTAATATGGAATGGAGTGTTTTCAACAGGAAAGTGAGGCCATCTGATGTACATTTTGGAAAGATCCCTGTAGCTGCTGTGTGGAGACTCAACTTTAGCCTGAAAAAGTACAAAGAGGAGAGGCTGTGTAGGAACATTTCTCTGCTCTGGAATTTGTTGTTCCCTTTTCTTTAAATATCCTCTCCCGTTTTCTTCACCTGCCAAACTCATAGTCATTCTTCAAGAATATTTCAGAATTATTCACAATAACCAAAAGATGGAAACAAGCCAAATGTTCATTAGTGAATGAAGGGATAAACAAATGTGGTCCATCCAATAATGTTCAATGGAATATTATTCAGCCATTAAAAGGAATGAAGTAATGATACACGCTACAATGTGGATGAACCTCAAAAACACTTTGCTAAGTGAAAGCGGCCAGACACAAAAGGTCACATATTGTATGATTCCACTTATACAAAACATCCAGAATAGGTAAATCCATAGAGACAGAAAGCAGATTAGTGGTTGCCGGGGGCTGAGGGAGGGGTCATGGGGAGTGACTGCTTAATGGGTGCAGAGTTTTGTTTTGGGGGTAATGAAAATGCTTTTGAACTTGCTAGAGGTGATGGTTGCACAACACTGTGACTGCACTGAATGCCCTTGAATTTTACACTTTAACATGGTTGATTTTATGTTTGTGAATTTCATCTCAATTAAAACTTTTAAAGAAAGAAAAGAGTATATTAGTTTCTTTTTTCTATCAAGCAAGGTAAACGTATTCGGACCAACTTCAATTCAAAGGAAAGCTCTATTGGAAAGACACCAAGGTTCCTCTGAGATTCTAGGAAAGAACTGGGCAGCCAAGCTGGGGAGAGCCAGCAGCAGAATGAATTCAGTCCTCATTCCAGGCTCAATCACATCCTTCCTCTAATCACGTCTGTCCCTGGGAGAAAGAGAATCTGATCGGCCAAGCTGTGTTCTGTGCCTCTGTGTCCTCCAGGGTTTGGGACCAGCAGCCCCACTAAACCTATGGATCGGGGAAGGAGTGATTGAGAAAGATGCTATGGGAACCAGACAAAGGGAAGAAGGGATACTGGACAGAACAAGACAGCTGGTACCCACTACAAACACCTCTCAACTCACACTTTCTTTCAACAGCATCTATCTGGTCAGTACTCACTGAGCATCTCCCCAGCTGGCACTTGTTAGGCACCGGGGATAGAAATGCCCTCCTGGAGCTTATACTCACGAGGAAAGATAGACACTGGATTTATGCCAGTGGGCTGAGAGCTGTGCAGGGGAGTACAGAGGACGCCTGGGAGGCTCTACAATCCAGGCAGAGGTGAGAGCATCCCACCCTCATTAGGGATCCATGGCTACCTGGAGTCCCCTCTGTCTTATTGCCCATCACGTTGATGTCGCTGCCTCTTTGTCTACCTCGATCATTGAACTGTGAGCCCTGAGCTGTGTGGAGCTCAGAACTGACACCGGGGCTAAGACTTGAAAAAAAGGAGGGAAGGAGAGAGTGAGGACACAGTGATGTACTGGATACACTAGATTTTAGTTTATGTCCTGCTCCCCGTTTGATAAAGGGTCTTTAAAACTAACTTTTACTGTGGCCACCTTGGCCCCCACGTTGGCGTAGGGAGTAAGATAACTTTCTTGCAGGGTGACAGCTGATGACACTGCCCTTATACTAAATCATAGCAGGGGGCTGGGCCTGTCATCTGCCGGAGCCCTCTGCTTCTAACAGGGCAACGGCCGCACGATTGACCCCAGATGGTGGCTGCTTCCATGTCCAAAGTCCTTCTCTCTGGGAGGCCTGTTTTCCTATCTTATCACCCTGGCCACCAAGACATTTTTCTTGGCTCAAAACCAAGATGTTGGCAGTGGCTGTCTTTGGGTTGAGGGATCCTGGGTAGCTTTTTCTCTTTTGCCTATTTGAATTTTCTCTTTTTTTATTTAAATGAAATGAGGGTGAAGCACTTACAGAATGAAGAAAAGTTAACTGGTTATTTTCAAAGTGAATCCTTTCTCATTCCTGTATATAAGCTCATCTTCTCTTCTTTGATCTCCTCTGTGTCAGAAAAGTCATACCACCCCCACCTACCCTCAGACTGTGGAACCACAAGGCGTGAACGTATCTGTTTTACAGATGGAGTTCAGAGAAGCTGAGTGACAGGCCCAACATCACAAGGTCATAAATGACAGAGCGGCCAAGTCCAACCTATGTCTGTCTGACTTCAAAACCCATATTGTCTTTATATCACTGCACTTTGTGTTAAACACGGCAAGTATTTATTCAGCTAGATTGACATGCCCTTGGCCAAGCCTCAGCCCACTTCTCGCCCCTTTCTTCTACTGTCTCACCTACCAACTGAAAAATTCACATGGCCCCAGGAGTCAGGAAAACTCCTGCCCCTACTACTAATGTTACTACTTCTGTTGGTAATAGCAGCTCCCACTTTGGAAGAGCTTAGTGTGTATCTAACACTGTGTTAAGCCTTAAGTACTTTGCCTGAGTGGACTCATTTAATTCCCGTAAAAATGCTATGAATTAGGTGATATTTTATCCCATTTTATAAATGAGGAAATTAAGGCTTAGAAAGATGAAATACCGGGCTCCCTTGGTGGCGCAGTGGTTAAGAATCCACCTGCCAATGCAGGGGACACAGGCTCGAGCCCTGGTCCGGGAAGATCCCACATGCCGTGGAGCAACTAAGCCCATGAGCCACAACTACTGAGCCTGCGCTCTAG